TATATATATATATATATATATATATATATATATATATATATATATATATATATACGATATAACGCGGCTTGTCAGCACGATAGCGTTTTCAATTTATAAGCGATTCTTCTCAAACTCAGCATGCTTTATTGAGCTTGAAAAGCTTAAAAACGTTATAAGTGCAATTTTAAGAGCTTATTCATGGAATTAGCGGAAAGTTGCAGGGATGCCCTTTAAGGTCAACCGTTTTCCAGATTTTTTTTGTTTGCTAATGAGTCATTAGTAATGAGTAATGACCTTTTAAACAGGCTTTAGAAAAAATCACTTGACTATAAATTTCTCAATGATTAGCATTATTTTTTTTTGTTCTACAAAAAACTAAAGTTTTTGTACATTCATAACAAAAAATGATTTTCCAATTTCGATTGTTTATTTAATTAAAAAAAAATTATTTTCTGAAAAATTTGAAAAACATGATTATTTATAGTTTTTCAGAAAATCAACGATTTACTCACAAATATTGATAAAATGAATAATTTTAATATGAATTGTACAACTTAAAATATTTACATTAATTAATGAAGTTTTAGTTGAATCTATTTATAGACTATTTTTTCATTTTAAGTAATCAAATATGTGAAGAGAAAACTACGTTTTTCTTCACTACCTTCCAGAAAAATCGTTAATATTACTATCATTTTAATACAACTAGGATATAAAAATAATTCTGGGATTTTTATTTTATTTTTCTTTATTATTAATTAGCTTTATAATTGATTCAATTATCATCCAAACATATATAAAAGTTTATATTAAGTTGTTTATTAACATATTCATCATTTTGAAAGACATAAAACCTAACAAAAATAGTATTTTAAACAAGTATATTTTAGATTATAATTTATAGAAACGATATTAATAAAATTGAATTCAAGACAGTAAATCAATTGCTTAAATGCAGTTATCTTATACATTACGAAGAAATATTGCAAGCTTGTTTACATTAGACGTCATGATATTTCAGTGATCTTCAGTTACGTTGATGGATAACGGTATTCGCAGTTTTTCTTCTAACAGTGTAGGCAGGTCCACATACATTTTCTGCTCGGCAAAAAAAAAAAATTAAAAAGATGTTAGAGAATATACTTGGAAAAATGATAAAAGCAGTAGGAAAAATGTAAACATTAAAAAAGTGGCAATTGTTATATAATAAATTATGTATACATATAAAGTTAAATTTAAAGACAAAAAATATTGTTAAAATACTAAACTAATCTTACTAAACTATATTCAATGTATAGACATAGTGTTCCTTCTCTGTAATCTTATTCTTATCGATGTGTCCAATGTAAACGAAATACTACTGGCTACTATTATATATCGGATAGCACTTAGCAATATTTGAAGAAACGAAAAAAAAAATTAATAATTACTAAGTAACATTTAAAATCATAACGAATTCAATCTACGTGATACTTACACTATCTATGTTATATTCATTCACCCGTGTTATGGCAGATAATACTAATAAAATTAAAGATTTTTTTATCTAGTTTTTCAGATGTAGCTGAGTACTATCTGATGTATAATAATTAAAAAAATTGGAGCAAAACCCTATTTTAGAAATTTTTGAACAGCAACAATATTTGAACGCATCGTTCGACTTCAATATGCTGGTAGCGTTTGATACCGTTTTTCAGGTTGTAAAAATTGAACGACGCGTTTAAAAGCTATGCCTGAGTCGGAATATGAGACGCAAATTGAACGTTTTTAACGTTTAAAATATAAATTGAACGTTAAAAACGTAGATTTATTACTATTAATGTCTCCAAAATTCAAAATGTAATTTCGTGTCACGAATATAAAAAAATGTTAAGGGAACCAATCTACACTTGAAGTTAAGAAATATAAAGACTATCTATATGTAATAAGATGCTCTGAGGCGAAAATATGTCGTACTGCATCACAATTTGCCAGAATTTTTTTTCGAGTTTTCATCAGATCTCCACAATTGTAAACTTCGGATAATTTTTTTGTACTTTTTTCTAAAACGTACATAAAGACAAAGGTTCTGAAAAAACATTTCCGGTTAGACGGACCACTATTAAAGACGTTATGAACAACAATATGAAAATAGACTTTTTCGAAAATTCAATACCTTTTGAATAGGTTATTAAAAAAATCTTAATATTTGTGAATTAGGATTTTTCGATGGGTACAGGAGAATGTTAAAAAAATGAGAAAATAAAAAAAAATGAGTAAGCCTCACAGACATAAGGTCACAATAGAAGTGAAACTTTTTTAATCGTTAAGTTGGTCTATATTACATGTATATTTTTAATGAAGCATCTCATGTTTTGAAAAACACAAGAAAATAATTTTATCAACTACCCGGTATTTGAGAAATAAAACACAAAAGTTTAAAAAATCCAAAAATGCACGCCTCATAACGCTAATTTATTAAAAAAAAAAAAATTGTGTAATTGTTAAAAAAAAAAAAATTAGGAAAACGGTTGACCCTAAAGGCCATCCCTGCAACTTCCCGATAATTCCATCTTTCAGCACTCAAAATTGCACTTATTACATTTTTGAGCTCTTCGAGCTCAAAAGTCTCATAGAAGATTAATAAAACACTATTTTTTGAAATTTCAAACCACGATAAATTTTGGATGAATGAACCTATTTTCATGCGGTTAGCGGCATTCGACGCAGTTTTTGAAGCCTCATAAAGAGTTTTTGAGTATAAATTGATAGAACTAAGAATTTCGAAGTAATTTCACAAAAACATTTTTTTCAGTTTTTTTTTGACAACGATAACTCACGAACGAATCATCCGATTTCGACCGGGCTGGCAGCGATTGACGTGGTTTTTTAAGGTTAAGAGCTGATTAGTTTTTGGAATCAATCGGTAGAGCCGTTCAAAAGTTATTTCAAAAAAACTACATTTGAAAAATTTGTTTTTCGTAGTTTTTTTTAAATTTCTCAAAATTTACTGGTCCGAATCGGTCCAAATTGTATTCAAAATTTAAGTTTGGTCAAGCCTTTTCGAATGGCACCAACTGTGATCAAATCGGTCAAGCCGTTCAAAAATTATAAGAGGTTTACATTTAAAGATCACAAAATATCTTGACCTTGACGAGTCGAGTGTAAAGCACAACCTCACGCGCTTCGCGCTATGAGGCGTGCAATTACACTTTTATTAATTAATATAGACATGAATTTATTAATAAGAATATTGTTAAAATAGCCGATAGAACAAAATATATTTCTAAATAACGTACTTAAATTTCCACGATGTGCCAAACAATACACATGTAGGCGATAATAACAGTTGAAAATACATATCTACATACTATACCCTATGTTCAAAATGTACTATAGGGACCGTGTTTCACACACACACATGCGTTATTGCACGCACAGTATATTCTGGTATACTCTTCCATTCTATTCGGCTAATCTTAAAACCTTGTCACTCTTTAAGAAATGTTAGACTTACTACGCGAACATTTCCCCTTCTCCTCCATTCTGTACTTTCACTTAACGTTTCCCCTCTCACGCGATACCCCTATTAGACCTCAAAACGTTCAGATTTAGCCTCCGTAAAGAAGTTTCACTTCAAAAATTTTTTTTTAAATAAATCGTCGGATTGGGCGTGGAATGTCTTATATGCTGATACACATATACTTGTTTACATACGAACTTAATCATAAATAGCCTCCATATATTTGGATCCACTCAAATTTGATAAAGATAAGTTCACATTATTAATGCTTCGAAGTTTAATATTAATATACATTTTTAACTTAATCTTTTTTTTTTTAAACATAGATGAATTATAGTTGATATTATCAACCCCGGTTGGTTCAATTTTATTTTTCTTCCTTATTGATCCTGATCATAATAAAGCTGTTAATGATTTTGGTGATCGTTTTCAAAAATTAAATAAATTCATTAACAGAAACTCAGTAACAACACAGTATAGTTTCAGATGGAGACAAATTCAGAAGAAGACTTTCAACCTCTTTAAGCTTCAAAATGAGAATGTTAATGTTAAAATCACATTAATTTTTAGAATCTTTAAATATCAAAGTCTTTCAAATCTACTTTCAATTGAATTAACGACTATTAAAGGATTCTTTTAAATACATAAAAATGATATACTTTCAAAAATTGATCTGTTTAGAAATCGGTCATTACTTTTGATGGATGTTGCTTGCAAAAAATTTCGTTTTTTTTTTTTTTTTTATTTATTAATTAAATAACTTTTCATTCCAATTCTACTACCCTATTCAATATTCGTTTTTATTTGGTCATATTTACTGTACTAGGAATGTTCGTGGACATCGTCGATTAGGGGTGTATCGACAAAAACAATTGATTTTGAATCCCCAGTTAGCCAAAGTTGACTATCTACTAATGGTTGTTCAGTGATTTTTATTTAGTTTACGTGAACTTCGCGTCAAACTTTAAATTTGTAACTGTTGTACACAATATGATTTTAACTTACTGCGTAAGTTGGCGTCAAACTACTGCCGAAATTAGAAAGAGAGTGCTCACATAGTTGCACTCAAGTTGACGGTAAGTCCATGTTAACTCATTCATAAGTACAACTAATGCGCTTAAATTGATATCTTAATTCGGCCGTAGCTTTAGGTTAGCTTTTCTATTCATATTGTTAACTGGAATGCAAGTGGTCAGTGTTGTGAAGATAGATCAAACTTTATTGTTAGTGAAATGCTGGGAAAAAAAGAGTCTAGCCCATCATAGATGACATTATTTTAATACAGTTCATAAGAATCTGAATAGCATAATCATTCTTATTTGTGATGGGACTTATCATCGTTATAAAAAAAGTTTCAACAGTAATTATCTGAGAAAGTCACATTTTAGACAAGAAAATCTATGAATTGTGAAAATAAGGAGCTTTTTACTGTATAATTTGAGTAAAATATAATTATGAATTGTATTATATAATAGTGAATCAATTTCTCTATATCTATGAAGTTCGGTTTCCCGACTTTTTATTAATCTAAAATTATATTTTATTTTTACTATATGAGAAGAAACTGTTGAGTTTCTTTCTATTCTCTTAGTCGTTACTTTGCAATAAATACATTTGTTTCAAACAAAAAGTTTAGCTTGTCATTTTTAAATAAGGAAATTGACTTGCAATATACGTATGTTTACTTAGATCTATAAACATCTTATAATTAGATAAAAAAAAAAATTGATTGAGAAAACTTTACTTAATTATAAGATATCTGTAAATTTAAGCAGATACGTAAATTGTAATTTTAATCTATTTTCTTGAATTTTCGACTATCTCCATTCATTAACAATAAGGTGAGTTAGATGTACTTAGATCCAAGTAGATGAATGTAAAAAAATTTTTTTTGGGTAGATAAGATTAGTATGTGACAAATCTTATAATACAATAGATCATAAGCCTCGATCGTATGAAATAAAATCAATACTTATGTTAGTTTTGATTCGTTGTTTAAAAAAGGCGAAAAAAAAAATGTTAGACACAGTCAAGCTTTAACGAGCTTATCCATATCGATTAGTAAAATTAATTTGCTCTGTTCAAATAGAATTCTTAACATCTCTTAACACATTAGATTTATTTGAAGAAATCTAAATACGATATTTACCGTGGTTTACCATGTTATAGAATTAATTTTTACGAGATGTTTTCAAAATAGTTTATTCAAAAAATTCCTCAAATAGTTGTTTGACTTCATTTTTAATAAAAAAAAAAAAACATAGAACTTTTTCAATTTTCTCTTGAAATTTTGAATTATTCATTCTAAATTAAAACGTTAGAATTTTGACGTGAATTTAAAAATGCGTTTTTGGATGAGTTATATAATAAATTCATATTTTTTTACCACTCGATTATTACAATCAGTATAAGTTGCATTTTTTGAATGATTTATGATTTTGTCATGAATGAATCATTTATCGAAATTATGGTGATATGAAATACATATAATGGCCTAGTAGAATTTTTACAGTTTAATTAATATGCTAAGATACTAACCACCGATGCTTCAGAATTTCATTTTTTTAATGAAATATTTTTAATTTCTTTATTATTCTTTATTAAAAATTTAAAAAATTGAATTTTTTCTTTTTTCTAATTTGGAACATAAAATTCCATTTACGCACATTAAAAAAATCTGTTGTAATAAATAAATAACGTAATTATAACACGTTAAACGATATTTATAATTTTGAGGTAAAATTTCCCAACAATGGAAGACGCATTTTTTTTTTAATAATTCGCAATAAGTCATTTAAATTGTACATCAACCCAAGTATAAATAAATACTATCTCTTTGTTTTTTACTTACATATAAATACTTAAAAGATTTTCATTCAATGTTTTATGGTTTTAAATTTATTGAAGAAAATAATCTTGCATATCTACTATTCATTTACTAGTAATTACTTTAGATGCAGATTTTGGTTTAACGAAACAAACATAGCCTGCACTCACATCGCAACCAGAAATAAGGAGGTTCATTAGAACGCTATTGGATTGATGATCTTGTAGATTTTCATCGTCACCATCAGCATCACCCATTAGATTGATCGTGTCCAAATGTTTTGTACGATTAACCGCATCGTTTAAATTGGAGGATTCGGCCGTAGTTGACAGTTCACGATCTTCTATAAGTTGTTGCAACAAACGCATTTTATTTGCTTTAGTATCAGCAAGATTGTTATCATTGATTCGGATATTTTTTTGATTCATACCGTCTACACTAATCGTGTATTTAACTGTATGAAATAAGTCTGTTTCTGATGATTTTTTGGCAGCGATTAATGTATTTTTATCCATCATCTGACATTTCATACGCTTATTCACTTCTTCGGTGTTCAATGACGATGTTTCATGCAGACGTTTATTAGATCTCTTGTTTACTCCTAAGAAAAGAGATTAATAATAAAATCAAGAATTAACATTTTTTGTTTACATAAAAAAATGAACTCACCTATTTCAAGAGTTTGATCACGTTCTTTAATTAAATTCACCGTAGAAATAGAATCGTATTTATTTGAATTTTTATTGTTCTTCAATAATTTTGCTAGGCTAGATTCTTTATAGTAATCAGAACTATCTCTTTTTGAGTCCCTATAGAAATATTAATGATAAATGCTTTGATGTAAAACCGTAAAGTATAATAAACTCAAGAATGTTTTATAATTAAGTAGGCATATTTGCTTACCAATCAGATCTATCAGGAGGTTGTGTCGGTCCCCACATAACCATATTGTCGCTGATAAGCATCTGTAAAGCCTCATCTTGATCTGACATAGGAATATAAGGAGCGCGCAATGCAAGTTCATCATCAGCAATAACTTCATCTATATTTAACATGAGTAATTCATCTTCTGAAATTCCAGAATCAGTTGCAATGTTACTTGTATCAGAACTATGTAGTAAATCTATACTAAATAATTCGGGGCTTTTAGTTGGCGTATTCGTAAGATTATTCGTAGTGGATTGAGATGAATCGAGATTCGAGCATGGATTCGTATAGAAAAACGGATCACTATCAAGAGTTTCTCCAAAATTATCATTTTTTTGAATTGTATCTTCCATGAGTCCAGAATTAGAATCGGGAAGTTCTGTTGGTATCATTGGACTTAACAATGTACAATAATTTTCATTACTTAACATGAATTCGTCAAGCATATCTGAGAGAAATGGTGTATCTTCAAGAGGAACGCATACATCTCCTGGCGTTGGTGCTAAATGAGTTAAATCTTCCGGTTCATCTTTAAGCACTAAATTGATAAAAAATAAATTAATGATGATGAATAGGACTTAAAATTTTTCATAATACTTACTTGTTAATCCTGGTTGATCGTCACTGAAAGTGAGGAAACCTTTATTCATATCCTCCGTTCGTGGAGCGAAAATACTTGCAGTGGCTGTTTGTGGTGATGAACGGTTTGTAATTGATAACAGAGTATCTTGATCAGATGTAGTACCAATGGAAGAATCACCAAATATTTTTTTTGTAACTGATTGAGACGGATCGTTATAAGATCGAGTAGAGTTGTAATCGATCACAGGTTTATTCTAAAAATTTATTAATAAATTATGATAGTAACAATATAAACTATAGACTGTGCATAGATCAGTTTAAGTGCTGCAGATAAATTTCGTCTGTATCCTGAGAAAACATTTTTATATATGTTTTTATATTTTAATTTATAAAAAACCTTAGTCAAGACTAGGTTTTTAAAATATGAAATCTAAGACCATTGTGTTATTTTGTAACATTCAGTATACGTATCGTATAGTACAATAAAGTATAGTATTAATAATAGAGTAATACAAATTTCGATATTATAGCAAAATATATTTCTTGTAAAAAAATGTTATATTTTCAATGTATTGAAAGAAAAATTATATTTACCTGGAATATGAATTCTGTATTTGAATCTTCCTTCTTATTCGTAATTACTGAAGCTCCAATATCACGGTGAGGAGATTTTATAGGCATAGATGAATTACTTTTAGGTATTTGACAAATCGGTGACGAAGTTACTTTTCGTATAGATTTTGATAAATCAATATTATTTTGTATTATTTTAGTATCTATTTTTCCTTCATCAACCTTTTTGTTTTTTTTCAAATCATTGGAAGAATTTCGAGCTTCCAATTGACATATGCTGTACACCTCATCTCCATATTCAATACCACTGAAACAGAAATACATTTTTATTGTTAGTTACTGTTTAAATATTTTATTTAAAAAAAAAAAATGAATAAAAACATTTAGATCCTTAAGCTCTTTTCTATTTGTCATGAGTATAGATATTTTCGAGTGGTCAACCTTCAAAAAAATATTTTTGTTTTTATCTAAAAACTAATCGATATTAACTAGAAACTTGTCTGTAGTTATTCATTAAAGTTATTTAAGATAAAATATAAATATTGCTAATTATTATGATAATTAGAAAAATTTAGCTCAAATGTAGCTCAATGAGGTAGAAAATATTATTTTATTGTTTAAAGCTAAAACTCTATCAAGTATACTAATTATGTTTAGACTCGTAAAAGCGCAAAAAATGTTTTGCATTTAAATCTAATGGCTACAACATTTAGAGAAAACTTCACAGATTATTAATTCCTATTCAAGTTTTCTGTATAATTATATTTACACACGGAGAGAATTTTATATTAACCCTAACAATATATTAACCCAAACAAGCCTAACAATACTTGTTTTGTAGATTTTACTATCTTAGATGGTAATTAATTTTACAAAAGTTGAAATGATAAATATAACAATTTAAATTATAATCAGTACAATGATAAAATAATAATTCCTAAAATAGAGCGATCGTACCATTTACTATCGAGATGGTTACATTTACCATCACAAGTGGTTAAAGTTACCAATTGTATTATAAGTTATTCAGTAAAAGTAAGCACTGAATTTATGATGATAAGTATTTAGGCTGCATTCAAGAATGCTCTATCTCTAGATACATAATTAAGAAATGACCTTGAATTTTGTGAACTATTGACATTTTTTAAAATATAAGCTCATTCCGATGTTATATACACTTATCAAAATCTTTCATTTAAGTACCTACATCATTTTTTCATATATTAATATATATTATATATATGTAAATATGAAAAATATATCAAAAATGCATGTGGGTACTCAAATGAAAGCTCTTGATGAGTATAACATCAACACGAGCTTATATTTTTAAAAATGTCAATAATTAAGAAATGACCTTGTATCTTGTGAATTATTGACATTTTTAAAGATATAAGCTCATGTCGACATTACACTCATCGAGACCTTTCATTTGAGTACCCACATCAATTTTTCATATATTTCATATATTTTATATATATTATATATATGTAAATATGAAAAATATATCAAATATGCATGTGGGTACTCAAATGAAAGCTCTTGATGAGTATAACATCAGGATGAGCTTATATCATTAAAATTGTCAATAATTAAGAAATGACCTTGTATCTGAAAAAATGTGAATTATTGACATTTTTAAAGATATAAGCTCATCTCGATGTTACACTCATCAAGACCTTTCATTCAAGTACCACATCATTTTTTCATATATTTATATATATTATATATATGTATATATGAAAAATATATCAAAATGTATGTGCGTAATCAAATGAAAGCTCTTGATGGATGTAACATCGGGATGAGCTTATATCTTTAAAAACGTCAATAGTTAAAAAAGTACAGTGCAATTTAAAAAAAACTCATTATTTCATGAGGCAAAATTTTATTTATTTATAGTTCACAAGTTACGACAGTTACATAGTGACTGCAGGTTGCTAGTAATAATAATCCGAACAAAAACAGTTTCACTGTAAAAAAATCGCGCCAAGTCCACGTTCATAAGACTATTAAGAAAAAAAAATTTTGTTTTCTTTACAAAAAGATATAAAATAAAAAAATTAAAAAATCCAAGTAACCGAT